TGCAGCCATGTCGAATAACGTGGATTGCCGTAGGCCAAGCGGGCGATTGGTTCTGAATTGAGATTGAACAGGCGGTCCACGTGTCGCTTGAGATGTCGTTCTGGGTGGCGACAAGGATAGGTCCGAATCGAAGGCGTCATCTGGTATATCATCAAGATTGAATGGCACGTCCGCTGCAGCCTCTTTCAGTGCGGCGGAAGGTGCGACAGCAGTCAGTGCCGGCGTAGACCTGGATGCAGTAGAGGGGATATTTCCCCCATTCTCTTCCTCAAATGAGCGCAGTGATGCTGCAATAGCAGCCTCAATTTCTTTATCTTCATCATAATACTGATCCGGTTGATGACTGGCATCAACTGTGGTCGTTGTAGGTTTGGGCGCAAGAGGTTCGGGGCCAGGCTTCTTCCATCGAGGGCCACGAATCATCTCTGGGGGCGAAGGCGGCTGGGTCAATTGTGTGACGAAGATATTCTCCTGGAAGTTCTTGCGTTTTGGTACAAAGACCTTGTACTTGGAGGTTCTCTCGACATCCTCAGATTGAACGGCGTTAACAGACCGTCGGTCGGGTGATTGAAATTCGTCCTCCCCGTCACCCTGATCTATGGAGATATCGGATTCTAAGTCAGAGAGGTATCAGATCCAGATCGTAAGCGAATATCAGGTCGCGGTAGCTTGCCTGCACCATCAAAAACACCAGCGTCTAAGCGCCGACGCTTTGCTGGACGGTTGTCCGTCTGGGCTGACTTAACTGCATCGGGTGTCCCAGGAACGATAACATCGTCAATCTCATGGTCAAAATAATCATCAGAGTCGTCACCAGAAACGGACATGTCGCGACTCGTTTGATCTTAACCAAATAGCCCCTCATAGGATTCTAAGGCTCATTGTTTAGCGATGAAGCGACGCGACGCGGTATCGCGACGTCACGTGAGACTAATTGAGATACATGGGATTTTGTCCTGTTTGCACTTGCACTCATCGTCTAGAGCGAATCGGCGGCGCACGTCCTTCGCTTCTGGGCTTAGTGTTACTGGTGGAGAGGAGTCATGGAAACCATTTTAGCAGCTCCACTTGGGTCTTGCAATGAGGTTTAACGAGGAAGATTCGAGATACCTTATCCAAGGCAACAGTCGATCTGTTCATACCAAGTTTCAATGGTCTTCAATTGTCGTGGTGGAAAAATGAGACTACTGACAGAGCAGTGTCCAGGATCAACAAAGGCAGGCCCCTTATTTACCTCACAATTTCCATTCTAGTCAGAGATCACAGGCACAGAAGTCAAAATTGAAACCTGGTCTGAGTCAAATGACTTCGGGCTAGAGGCAGACAGGCCCACACTAAGGAATCTGGTTATTTTAGGCACCTTTTGCCTTTGAGTCCCGACCCCAGATTCTACAGCCACAATCTCCTCATGTCTCTGATCTTCTATTTTACTAATAATAATCAGCAAGGGTCTTCACTTTTCAGCTGAAGTTGGATGACATACAGGTGATCGAGGGATTCGCAAAATAATGGTTACACTGAATGAGCATCTCATTTATTATTTAGTCGAGTATCATTAGTATGACCATCACTAGGTAACTTTGCACTATTATTGAGTGTCACCATATCAGCCAAACAAGGTGGCTTGCTTCGGAAATAGCAGTCGGTGGCGATGATCGGATACTCTTTGGATCATTGTTATTATGTATTGTTGTTGTACGCTGTATTTCGTAAGGCCGATGCTGCTGGAAGAATCCAGACTAAAAGCCGACAACCTGATTTTCTCCAATTCTTCACCAGCTCTGTCCAACCACGATCGTCCACAGAGCTAAGCTAGCTGAGGAGACACTGCATGAAGCCTTAGTAACGTTGTCAGTGGATGATTAAAGCACTTGGATAGGTCCCAAAACTCAAAATAAGTATTAATTCACAGACAGGAAAGACTGAAACCCTACTAATGAGAAGGCGTAACAACAAGAAACCTGGGAGTGACAAGACTTGGAATCATTAGTGTGTCCAATATCCACAGGTCACAGAGAACCCTTCCTGGCAAGGTTTCATGGCCTGAGGGTGTCTACTACATCTGTCATTGGTCTTACTTTATTACTCCTCTTTTCCCCCAACTACTTCTGTTTTCCCTCCCCTTCTTCTTCCTCCTCATCAACAAACACCAGTCTCTCGTTTCTAGCAGCAATCTTCTTTTCTCTTTCGTGCACTGAGATCTCAAGTCTGTCGCTTCTGAATCTCTACAGTCAAACCCAGTCAAAATGAAGTTCAACAACATCATCGCCGTCTCCTCTCTCTTGGTCCTGGCTACTGCCCAGTCTACCACTGATAGCGCGCCCTCCACCACCGCCAGCCTGACCCCCGAGGCCTCCTGCGCCGCCAAATGTTCGTATTTATATTTTTTTTTTTTTTTTTCTTGAACTATCCATCACATAAAGCTAACGTTGCAATTGCATCTAGGCGGCTCTAATGACATTTGCTGTGTTGCTGGATGCTACAAGGTTCCCTGCCCTAGCGACCAGCAGGCCAACGACACCGTCAGCTGTGTTGCTGCGTGCCCTCAGGGCTCTGGCACTCCTAGCGACACCGACAAGTATGCCGCGTGCCAGAACAGCTGCTACAGCAGCCACTTCTTCCCCGCGACTATGACCAATGCTGGTTCCGCCAACACTGGTGTCAGCTCCAACACCGCGACCACCACCGGCACTGGTTCTAGCAGCTCTGAGACTGGCGCTTCTGGTATGTTGCTGGTTCTATTTGGTCATTCCTGAAACTACTCAAGGATGTCAAAGCTAATTGAGCAATCTGCAGGCTCCGACTCCACCGCCTCTGGCTCCGGCACTGCTACCAGCAGCTCTACCGCCACCTCGACTCCCAACGCTGCTGCTGTTAGCCAGCTGCAGCTCGGTGTCTCTGCCGCTGGTCTCCTTGGCTTCGTTCTTGCTGCTTGGGCTCTGTAAATGATGTTCTACTCTTTACAGAAACCCCTCTTGGCTACGACTGGGTCCCAGACGGTAATGAATCTCGAGACGGGAGTTAATAGGGTTACGGGACATGGGTCGATTGATTTTATTTCTCTCCATTCTCATTGGGGTACTAATAAGGATGCCACCTAATACTGTGCCATAGTTGCCTTTCATGTGTAGTACTTTCAAAACAATTTGAGATACCAATGCGAAGATGCTTAATAATGACTCTACTCCGAATCACTGTATGAACGTTGACGTCAACATGGGCAATGTTCCCTTGTTCGAGTTCCTAGAAACCAAGGCAATTGTCAACAGACGTTCAATTCAGCGAGGTCTGTTCAAGTTGACCCATCGTCCGGGTCATCATCCACCTAGGAACTATAAGCTCTGAAACGTCATTTGAACGAGTTCGGAATATTCTCATGATCGCTTAACAGCTCAGGAACCGTTTGTGATCTCTCCCAAGTGTCTCCGGTCTTTCTCCACCCTAATTTCTGACATTTCCTCTCCTTTGAATCGGCGCTTCCTTGACATCATGCGAGTCTCATAGTGCATGCCGCAATGTATCAAGTAGATGCCAACGATGAATGGCGAGAGATCGACTCCGTAGACCGTGGAGATCTGTAAGAAAATCCCCACCGATAAGGCTGATTGATAAGCTGCGCGTCAACTCCCCGCTTAAACGCGTTAATCACATCATAAATGGGTAAAGAGAAACATACAACCATATCTCCTCATTTCTAATTGAAAACTACCCACAGCCTGACGCCGCCTCAATTAAGTCCTAGCAGAGACGCCTTCCTCCTCCTATACTGCACCCACCTCAACCAAAAACAAAGCGAGGCTGCGAGGGAAACAAAATGGCCCCCCCAACAGAATTCCACCACCTCTACACCACCATGGCCGCCTTCGTGACGTCCTGCATGTCCGCCCACGATCCCTCCCACAACCCGGCCCACGTCCACCGCGTCGTCACATTAGCCCGCACAATCCTCGAGAAGGAACAGCTCCTACACCCGGACATCACCTACGACGCGGACGTCGTCAAACTCGCTGCCTTGCTCCATGATATCGGGGACAGGAAGTATCTGACGCAGATCGCCGCGGCGACATCCGCAGCTGGAGAGCAGCAGCAGGCGGCGGTTGATCCGGGCCGGATGGTGGAGCAGGCGCTATTGGCGCATGGGGCGGACGCGGCGCTCGCGGCGAGGGTGCAGACCATCGTGACGCATGTGTCGTACTCAAAGGAGGTTAAAGATCCTGCGACGGTGCGGAGATTGATTGACGAGGAGGGGTATGTGGAGTTGGCGGTGGTGCAGGATGCGGACCGGTTGGATGCGCTGGGGGCGGTGGGGATTGGGCGGTGTTTTACGTTTCTGGGGGCGCAGGGGAAGAAGTATCTTGGTCCTGGGGAACCGTGGGATATGAATAATGCTATATCTCACTTTCAGGACAAGCTGGTGCGGTTGGAGGGGATGATGAAGACGCAGACGGGGAGGGAAATGGCTCGCGTGCGGACACAGCGGTTGGTCGAGTTTCGCAAGTGGTGGGAGGAGGAGATGGAGGAGGCAACTCATATTCCTTGAGAAGGACATTGCTTAGGTGATAGTCGCAGCTTACCCCAAGACCTCTCAGCACGTGCATAATAGATCAAGCAATCATTCCATAGATCTCATTCTGTCTATCAAATCTCAATAGAGAGGTACAGTATTTGGGTATTTAGTATGTAGTTGCAAGAGTATCAAGCACACAGCAAACATCCAAAACCAAAGGGAGCGTCATAGAATCCCAAGAAAGATATCCTGGAGCCAGAAGAACCAACCAAAAACAAGACCAACCGTGTAATAGACTCCAATGACATCGAACCTGCCAGATTATCTCGTGCTGCTCTGCATGTATGGATTTCTATGAATAGGCATGAGCACCACATCGAGACCAAACGCCAAAATTAGATCAAAGTCTAGAAATATGTCGAGCTGCTCAGATGCGCAAGGAAAGTAAAGCATAGCGTGCGTCAAATAGCACAGAAAGGTTTGATGTTGAATTTCAAACCCGATCCCGAGCAAAATCCAGCACCTCACAGTCGTCTTCGAAGAATCCGTCGTCGACACCAGCGCCAGGAGCAGTGGAGACTGCCATGGAATGTCTCTTCTTCCTGCGAGTGGTGATAACAACCTCTTCAACGTTGCCGGTGCTGTTGCCCAGACTGATAAGGTTCTCCATTTCTCCCCCGTAGCCGTGGTGTTGTTCGTGCACGATATCGTCCTCGTCCCCGGTGCCACCACCGGCGCTGAATGGCCGCACGTGGAGCTTGGTCAGCGAGATGCAGTCGCCAAAGATCCACTGGCCGCCCGGGCCATACGTCAACGGATCACATACTTCATTTTCATTCGAGAAAACGAAGAGATTGACTCTGTGGTCGGTGTGGAAGGGCTGGTAAGGTGCGTTCGTTTCGATCTCGGCCTGGGACAGGGGCTGGCACCTGATCTTTGAGGTAGTGTGGGGCCGTGAGTTTGAAGATGGCAGGGTTAATATGGCAGACACAGTGTGTTCGTGGGCGAATGTCCCAATCAGCAGTGGACCGCATGGAATCTGAAGGTTTGCAGGCAACTTGTACTCGATTTCCTTGTTTCCAATAACCGACTGCAGTTGGCGATTTCTGTGAGAAGACATGGATCTTTTGACCCGGTACAGCCGGAAGAATCCATTGTCTACCACACCCAGGAAAGGCTGCCCTTTGTTCGAAATCCAAACAACACGAGACGCGGCTGGGTCACGGGCGAGACCGGAAAGATGCAGTCGATTTTCCCCAGCGTGCCGGAGAGTATTGACTGTACCAGTTGCTGCACCCATGGATTTGCTAAGACCAGCAGCAACCGCCCTTCCACTTCGGACTCCAGCCGCGGAGGGAATTGCGAACGCACCGACTGCAGGAAATGCAGAGCCGGCGGACGGAGTGCGACCTCTAACTGCAGCAAGGATAGGCTGTGTTTTTCCACCAACGAGTTTGAAAGCGGCGGATAGCGGATTCGTCACAGCCCCTCTGTCAGTCGCTTCGTCCGTGGGGGAGTTGTTGGCTTGTGACTTGGGGGGTTGGGGACGAGCTCGCCGGAACGGAGGCCACTGGAAAGCACTGCGAGGAAGGTCAAAAACGTGCACTGTGCCCTTGCGGGTTATCACTGCCAGACGATCTCCGGATGGAGGGGACCAGATCACGTCGACAATAGAAGACGTAGTAAGTCGTGCGAATCGCGCAACTTGTCGCACATTGGCTGATGGCGATGTGGAGTCCTCGGAAAAGAAGACCCCTGCCCGACAATGCCTGGCTTGCATCAAGTCCCAAACGTACTGTACATCCCCCTTCTTGCTCGCCGTGAGCAACATCAAACCATTAGGGGAGAATGACAAGAAGCTACATCCATTAGGGACCTGGAAGGTAGCGATGGGGTTGAGCATAGCATTCCTTGCCTCGCCGCCATCATCCAATCGTCTCAAATCCAAAATCGACACAGAATCGGGTTCTGCAGGGGAAGTAGTTTGAGTTTCCTGGGCGTGTGTCGGAGGGAAGAGACTGTATCCTTGTTGTGGTAAATCCATAAAATTTGGGGATCGGCGCGAGGATGTGCTCTGAGACTGGTCTTTATTCCAGTAATTGTTCCAAGCTTGAAGCCCCTGGTCACCCATCCAGCGGGCACCACGTACCAGCTCTTGTGTGACACCCCTTGCTACTTTGTCAAAGAGGCTCTCGCCCTCGCCAACGTCCGTTGCGGAGGTGACTGGCGGCTTGGCTGGAGGACTACGCGTCTCGAGCCCAAAAGCTTTGCCCTGAATAAGTGAGGCAGGCACCCTTCCACGAATAGAAGCTCTATAAGTTGAGGATGGTGGCACTATTGCTAGCCATCGTCCTCTGAGCGCCAGCACAGGGTAATCCGAAACGGCTGAACCATGTGGGGAGTCGTTGCGAGATGCATCCGGATCAGTCGAACTGGATGATGTCGAGTATCGCCGAGCCTCTCGTGTCTGTACACTTGTCCAAGTTTTACCCAAGCACTGATATGCACATGACTGTGAGAAAGGGTTTATGCCGTATACATACACCTCCCCACTGACGCCGGACGCCAACACTATATGGTTCCCGCTGACGAGTAGCTTAAGATTCCCAATAGGAGATGGGGCCAGAGCAGGCAATCCGGGAATGTTCTCAAAACATGGAGTAGGTTTCGTGGTGAAGAGTGTCGCGATCTGATCTCCGCTCCTGAGAGAATAAATCTCGGCTCTAGTTTGGTACAGTTTCGGCTCATCCTTGCTAACGCGCTTTTCACCCGGCGGAGGCCTTCCGGTCTGACTAGGTGGTATCTCATTTGTTTCCGAACCAGCAGAAGATGTCCGGCCTTCGTCTTCACTTGAGGCACAGGGTCCGTGTATTATGATGGCGACGTGTGGTCTAGACGAAATGAACGGATCGTTCGATGAGGTAGAGGCTAGGATCTTTGCCTCTATCACACGGCCCCTGAGCCCACTAAGCTTTCCCACTAAACGCGTTCTGCGGTCTTCGATTGCGAGAACGTCCAAGGCCCCGTCAGTGCCAACAAGCAGTACGGTGCCACCCATTTTGGAGGACTTGAACGCTGGACCGGACAAAGTGTCAAAGCAACAAAATGAGTAACCTTCGTCTCCAGCTGCACGGTTTGAACCAGTAAATGGAGGGAGATCAATATCTGGAGCTCCGTAGAAGTGAGGTTGCGGCAGATGAGGCAGGGGAATATGACCGTCGTACGGGCCACTCAGAGAATGGCTCTTCTGCCTGTCTACGGATTGCTGCCTGGACAAATTGCTGCTCAGGTATCCATTGCCGTAGCTCAAGGGTCTCCTTCGAGGAGGGGGAGAGGTTGATGACGGTTGACAGAAACCACCTTTATCTAGGTGCGTAGGGAAGCTAAGGGGAGACCCGCCTGCGAGCTCCCCATTGACGCCATCATTTGGAGGACTTTTTCCATATGGAATTGATTCTGCCCATGTTCCCGTACGGATGGCAAGATCATTCTCCGTCGTTCCCGTAAGAGACCCCAAAGCGTCTGGAATGGCCGAGGCAACTGGATCACTAGGGGGAGCCAACGGGGTATCCGAATAAGACGACGGCTCAGGTAGCACAGGCGGCGAAGTGTCAATCCTGTGGCATCGAGGACAAACTTCGTCAGTTTCTGGACACTTATAGCCTGAAGAGGAGTGATTTCCATGCATACAGGTCATCAGGCGGAGACTTGGCTACCGCTTTGGCCCCTTTACCTCCTTTGCCGTTTTTACCCTTTTTCTTCGTTTTTCCAATATTGTCATTGTTTTCGGGACTTGGCCGAGTGAAATCTGGAGGAAGGGGGATGAGATCGCCTGAAGCCCGGCCCTGCTGGCGAAATAAGTCGTCCGAGGCTGCCGGGGGCATTCAACTGGAAGGAGTGCCTCAGAAGGAGGCAACAGAGAATCTCGCTAAGGAGACCGCCCTCAAGACCTCTGATAAGGTCTGAGAACGGGTGTTCAACAATGATGTTGACTGGCAAAGACAATCGATGAGCTGGGAACCTATCTAGAGACTGGATGGAGCCTTGTGTACAGAACGCTTGTCAGCGTGAGTCATCGCAAGAAGCAGCTGCGGGCTCTCATTGAAACATACTATTGTTTGTTGATTGAAGTGACAAAAATCTCCAGAGGAAGGACAGATAAGTTATTGCACTCTGTCTGTTCGAGTGCGGAGCTGTCGCGCGAGCCAGCGTACCTGGGGATGTGTACCCTTGGATACGCCTTGTAGATGCGGGATTCAGTATGACTCGGATGCCAGACTTTCTTCTGTCATCCAAGCCTCCAACTCAGTAATTATCTCCAGTATCTCTGAACTACAGTCTCGTATGACTGGCCCAAAACTCAGGACTCAAGAAAGATTTCAGATAGTTGTTTGAAGAGAGATATAGAGCAGTAAACGGTTCAAGAGAGGGGGAGGGGGAATCCATGCAGGTCAGGAGCATCGGTAGATGACATCTCTCCATGGTAGGCTGACTGCTCATACGTAATTAAACCAAACTTTACCCGTTATCTGCAAGCAGCTAGCAGGTATCAGTCAATAGTTCCAGGGCTGATTTCCTTATCAGTAGGTACAGTGGCATGTCATAAGTTTGAATCCAGTGTATTTACCGCTAGCCTGATTAGGAATCCGGATAGATAATAGCGACCAGTAATAGTCCCAAGAGGGATACTGGGATGTTTTCTATGGATCCTAGAATGAATATATTTAATGATACAGAGCTTATAGCTGTATAATCATATCTACAGTAATTTTCTTTGCAAGGGCCATGATGTCGTTGAGTGAGGCATCTGAAGATTCACATCTGCAGCAGTATAGTAGGGATTCCCTAATCAGGCTAGCGGTAAATACGCTGGATTCAAACTTTTGTCGTGCCACTGTACCTAGGTACACAGGGAGTCCGGAGTTACCGTACGGAGTAAGGTACCTGTCTGCCTGCCCCCTACTTTCCGCTCCATATCTCAGTTGGCACCCCTCATAAACCAGGTCTCATCTATCGTTTATATGTACAAATTATGATAAGATATTCACACAGGAGCTATACTTCAAAGTTACAGAATCACTCGCAGCTTCTCGACAGCTGATCTTGGAGCATGAATGCCTGTGACTGTATATCTGGCACGAGGTACCGTATCTTTGCTGGTAACGACATTACAAATAACCATCCCCATCCCGCATGAGGGGTAAGACAAACATTGCAAACAACGCGCGCCCGAAACACGGGGTCAGCACACGACACGTGATTTGCCTGAAGGGTTGTCCTCATAGGAAGAGGTGGCAGGTCATGATCATCAACTGGATGTCGAAACTTGGCTCGAACATTCCACGTATCCACGGTTGCCTCCGGAGGTAACTGCCAGTCAAACAACGACCAAGTCTTTTCGACTCAGTATCAAGCGTCAGGTGTTCGTCGTCGACTTGTCACGGGGTCACTTCTGCAGCATAGCCATGATCTGTAAGGCCCCAAGGTGTCATTGGTGGAGGATCAAGCGGTGACTGAGACATGATTCCTGCCGGTCATATCAAATCTATGCTTGTCATCGTCCAGGGAATTCTTCCTCAACGTGCCATTTCCCTATGACACCTCGTACCGTAGACTTGTGTACCTGCCGATGACCTATGGGTTCGTCATTGACAAGCATCAGCATCCTCATGATGAGACAACGTGAAGGATTCCTCTCTAACTCAATAGGGGTAAAGCGCAAGTCAAAGAATTTAGATAATATTGATACAAGTTTATTAGATAAAATCAAGGGGAAACTCCCTCACACACTCCGGTAGACTTTGCTTTTGTTCACCGGTCCCTTGTATGCCACCTCTTCTTGGCAATATTCAGGTCTTCTTCTTCGCAGCAGCCGCTTTGGCGGCTTTCTTTCTGTTGCTCTTGATCATTACCAACCCAATAAAGGTACCAACCACGGCCGAGCCCAGTAGAGTGAGAATGACAGGTATGCGGATAGCCCACACGCGAGGAGGAAAGAGGTCATGAAGAGGGTGTCCGGTGTCAACGAATGGCTATTTGATAGTTAGTTTTCGTGTCAGGTGTCGTCGTCAAGAGGGCGTGGATTAAGTACCATAAGGAGAGTCCAAGCCGTGTAATAGAGAAAGATCGCGGTAGCGACCAAGAGCATGGCGGATCCCACGAGTTGGCCCAGCTGCAATCAGATTCAGTCAGTATAAGCGGGGTATGGCTGAGGAGGAATTGAAGACTCACCATAATGGATGCTCGAATCAGGTTAATTCCCTCCTAACAGAACGCAGGAAGTGCACAACGAAATGTCTCCTCTGATACTGCCCATAAACAGTCCAGGCCAGCTTGGCTCCTCATAGGTCACGTGATGTTATTAGACGCTAAGACTTTCTCCCTTCGCCGCCTCACGTTCCCGACTGATAGAACTTTGTTGGACATACTGCATCTCGAGCTCTGGAGTTGATATCTACTCAAGAAACTCCAGAGTTGTAGATTCAGACACATTGCAACCATGACGGATTCTGTCGTGTTGCAATCCGCCGTTCGCGTGCCTACACCTCCTCCAGGCACCTCATACTCTCCACAGCCCTCAGCTTCGCGAAAACGCTCTCCTCCATCTCGGTCGCCTTCCCCTCGTCGCCGTCGGTCGCCACCTGGTGACTCGCTGAAGGAAGATGGCGATGCACCACGTATCGATCCCGAGCGTGCGATCGAAAGAGAGCGCCAGCTGGCCGAACGCCTTCGTCAGCATGAGAAGCAGGAAGCTGCGCGGAAGCCCATGACGGAGGAGGAGAAGCAAGCTGCCGCCAAAGCTGAGTATGAAAAATTGTTGAATATGCGATCTGGGGGCACATACATACCACCAGCTCGATTGCGCGCGCTGCAGGCCCAGATCACGGATAAGAACAGCAAAGAATACCAGCGTATGGCATGGGAAGCTTTGAAGAAATCCATCAACGGTCTGATCAACAAGGTCAATGTGTCCAACATCAAGTTTATCGTTCCCGAGCTCTTTGGGGAGAACCTGGTCCGTGGCCGAGGGTTGTTCTGCAGGAGCATCATGAAGGCGCAAGCGGCGAGTTTACCGTTTACCCCGATCTACGCCGCGATGGCGGCCATTGTCAATACCAAGCTGCCTCAAGTCGGCGAATTGCTGCTCAACAGATTGATTGTTCAATTTCGAAAAGCATTCAAGCGAAACGATAAGGCCGTCTGCATCTCATCCACCACATTCATTGCGCATCTGTGTAACCAGCAAGTCGCTCACGAGATGCTTGCTGCCCAGATTCTCCTTCTTCTGCTACATAAACCTACAGATGACAGTGTGGAGATTGCCGTCGGTCTGACCAGGGAAGTTGGCCAGCACTTGGAAGAGATGAGCGCTCCCATTGCTCTGGCTGTGTTTGATCAGTTCAGGAATATTTTGCACGAGGCCGACATCGACAAACGAGTTCAATATATGATCGAGGTCCTGTTCCAGGTTCGCAAGGATAGATACAAGGACAACCCCGCGATCAAGGAGGAACTTGATCTAGTTGAGGAGGAAGATCAGATCACACATCGTATCGGTCTCGATGATGAAATTGATACTCAAGATGGCCTCAATGTCTTCAAATACGATCCTCAGTGGGAGGAGCACGAAGAGGCGTACAAGAAGCTCAAGGCCGAAATTCTTGGCGAGGGTAGCGATGATGAAGAAGGTGAGGACGAAACCGACGAGAGTTCTGATGAGGAAGAGGAGGAAGAACGACAGATGGAGATCAAGGATCAGAGCAATACAGATCTCGTCAATCTCCGGCGAACAATCTACTTGACTATCATGTCCAGTATCGACTTTGAAGAATGTTGCCACAAACTCATGAAGATCTCGTTGCCGCCTGGCCTGGAGCCAGAACTCCCCTCGATGGTCATCGAATGCTGTTCCCAGGAGCGAACATACTCGAAATTCTACGGCTTGATTGGAGAGCGATTTGCGAAAATCAACCGTTTATGGTCTGATCTTTTCGAAGCCGCCTTCGCCAAGTATTACGATACAATCCATCGATACGAAACCAATCGTCTGCGCAATATAGCCCGTTTCTTTGGCCATATGCTGAGCACAGACGCCATCGGCTGGCATGTCATGTCTGTCATTCACCTCAATGAAGACGAGACGACCTCTAGCAGCCGTATCTTCATCAAGATTCTGTTCCAGGACCTAGGGGAACATCTTGGCCTTGCAAAGTTGCAGGAGCGCATGAGAGATGAAATTCTGCGGCCCAGCTTCGAGGGACTTTTCCCTCTGGACAACCCTCGCAACACCCGCTTTTCCATCAATTACTTCACGAGTATCGGCTTTGGTATTCTGACGGAAGACATGCGGGAACACTTGAAGAATCTTCCCAAACCGACTGTTCCTGCCCTGCCTGCACGCGACGCAGAGTCGGACTCGGAGTCTGTCAGTTCGCATTCTACCTGCTCCACATGCACAGGTTCTTCTCGGTCTCGCTCGCGATCATATTCGTATTCACGATCTCCTTCACGGAGCCGCGGCCGGCGTCGTTCCGTTAGCCGTGGAAGGTCGTACTCGAGATCAGTGTCTGGATCTTCTCGAGGAAGAAGTTATACCCCAAGCCACAGTCGATCGAGGTCTCCAGTTCCAAAGTCTCGTCGGCGCTCAGTGTCCTATAGTCGTTCACGATCGCCAGCTGGCCGAAGAAGGTCGTCAGTCTCTCGTACGCCACCTAGACGTGTCCGTGGCAAATCTTACGACTCTCGCTCTCCTTCGCGATCCGTCACGCCGCCAAGAAGGCGAACCTCTTACAGCCGGAGAGATCGATCTTACTCCAGGTCACCGTCACGCTCTGTTACCCCACCACCCCGAGCTGCGGATGCAAGGGCGCGTGGTAGACGCTACTCCTCGCAGTCTCTTTCTCCTCCTCGGCGGCGTGCCGAAAGAAGTGTATCCCCTCAACGTCCTCCTCCTGGTCGCCGTCGCCGTGGTGATTCTTTGTCACGATCACCCAGTCCCCCTCCGCGGTATGCACGTGAACAGAGGCGCAGAAGGAACTCGAGCTCTGTCTCGGCATCTCGCTCGCCTCCACCTCGCGACTCCGACAGGCGCAGGTCTTTATCTAGGACTCCGCCTCGTCGGGGCCGCGCTTCCGACTATTTGTAACAAGAGAAAAGCTCATTGAATTATGCCCTTCGGTACTTGGACATTGCACAGTGACTCAGCAGGTTTTAAATGGTCTAAATAACTGGAACAACATGGGCGGGCAAAGGTTCTAAAGGTGTATCTATATTTCTAGGCTGTGAATTTATTGCAAACTGCTATACCCACTCTCAGTCCTGCCTGTTGGGTCTTGTATATCAAGTCTCTGTAGGATTCACATAATCATTCAGTCATCTATCGGGTATCTCGAGTGCTGTATCGCTGCCACAACCATCCTATATACCAAGTCCAACCATCTACGCCGTAGAAGCCTCCCACACACACCTCTCACACTGACACAACCCCCCAAGCGCGCCCCTAGCCCACTCCCTCCGCTCCTTCACATCAAGCCCAATATCACAGTAATGGTTCAGGATCTCTTCATCGGCCTTGATCCCCTCGCCGCTCCGCCGCACAGGCGCCCCCTCCCCCTTCCACACCGCTCGCTCGGCCTCCGTCCGCGCCCGGAACGTAATCTCGCCGCCCCATTCCCAACGCACGTTGGGGTCACACGAGTGGTTCGCTAGACACCAGAGCGGATGCACGGCGCAGAGCTCCGGCCCGCCGTCCCAGGTGGAGAGGCGGCCTGACGCGGTGCCTCGGAATTTGGCGTACAGCGTGTTGAGCACCCAGGTGTCGTAGCGGGGGAGGTTGGCGTACGGGTCCAGTTCCATTTCCTCGAGGATGCGCATCGGCTGGAGGATGTTGAGCTGGAAGGAGAAGGGGAGGGTGGCGGTGGGGTCGTCTGAGTCTGAAGGGTTGTTGAGATCGAGGTCGTGGAAGTCGCCCCAGATGTATTTCACCTCTGGGAGATCGAGCGGGTGCATATCCTGCGTGGCGGCCATGGCGATCGCCCGGCCAAGGAGCAGCAGGTACAGGTAATCGGCCTTGTCCTTCGGGTCGGGGATATCCTTGCCGATCGACTCGAGGTTGTCCATGAGGCCGCAGACGGCGCCGTGGTAGACGGTTTGGGCTGTGTCGTGGCACTTCTGGCTGCAGAAGATGGTGTCGGCGCAGCCGTCGCACGCGACGGGGGGTTCTGCGGACGAGAGCTCCGGCAAGGGAGCGTTGCAGGCGTCGCAGAGGTCATCGTGGAGGCGGTTGGTGGCTGTTAGCAGCGACGACTCGCGCAGCAGGATCTCCCCGGGAGCGATGTCTTCCTTTGCGAACAGGCCCAGTTGAACGGAGACTTCTGCTGCACTCTGGTCAGACCCCAAGGCTGGGGCAGTAGTCGTGCCATGCAACGCGGGCAGCGCAACGGCCCTAACCTCGCACTTGGGCGCAACATCCTTCAGCCTCTCGTTCAGCAAATTCAGCGTCTCGGGCGCCTTGCGGTCAGGCTCATGTGTGTTCCACGGGTAGAGCACCCGCCTCGCGTAGCCCTGCGCATTCAGCACGCTTGCGTCCACCACCACCTCCTCTTCACCTTCTTTCAGTCCATGCTTCGCAGCATACACCTTCTTCAGTATCCCCAGCTGCTCTTTCAACCCAGCAATCTCATTCTCCGCACCCACACCCATATCCCCATCTTCCAACAACGCAAGCCCACGCACACAGAACTCATACGCATCCCGATAACACCCACACCGAACCAAGCTCCTCACAAGCAACCCATACACGGCCCCAATCATACCGTCGTATTCCTCCTGCGATATATCCTCAAATTCCCCCTCCTCATCCTCCTCCTCCTGATCCTCGTGCGGACTGTCCACCCGCCGCCTAGCCTGAAACTCGCACCCATCTGGATCAACAATCGACTCCAGCAATGACAGAGCCCGGTACGCATCCGCCGACGCAAGATCCGAGAAACCCAGGCGCTCGTGTATCCGGCCTCGGTCGAGGTATCTGTGCGGATTGTGTGGGTCTGTGTACAGCTGGGTGGTTGCTTCGGAACGTTCGCGGAGGAGTGCATTTGTGTCTGTGTTTGTGTCTGTGTCCATGTTTATGTTCGATTGTTTGCGAGCAGCGAGCGGAGAGTATATTCAGATATCTGGAATTGAGCGCTGCTGCTATATAAAATTCGTAATCGCTCCTTTATATATGCGAGGTATATATGCTGTGGTCTGGAATGTGGAAGGTATATTTCAGTTGGTGCACTTCGGTAAAATCTATGGGGTAGCCCAATAAATTAACGATGACAAGGAGAAGGATTAGATGCTATACACGTATATTCAAGAACGGCAATAATTTGCAATTGCTTCACGAAGGTCTTGGACCCATAATCCATCTCTCGATTTTTTTTAGACGTGGGGTATCCTTATCATCACGTGATTATATCACAATAATAATGATGGTTGGCAAGCAGATCACAACCACAGCACATAACGGACCAGGTTGCACCACAATTCTAGCGGTATATGGACTATGGGTGAGGCAGAGCATTTGCAATTATGTACGCTACAATTGCGCCTATTCTGTCGACCGATTGTACCATGTCCAAGGGCTATGTACTACAATACGCTGCCAAGAGCCCCAAAAAAATGGTGTATATAATACTGTTGGCAACTTGGGTCTAACAATAACGTCGAAAAATCGTACGCATGGCCAGCTGACCAGTTGACCACGCTTCGAGATAATCCAGCGAGGCGGACTCACATCACCTGAACAGAACATTTTTAGTCTCAAACCAGGGGAATGCCCAATAATCAACCAAGAGCTTACAGTGCAATTTTCGTCCAGAACAATGGTCGCGCCCTCGCCCGCTCCGTCCACCAATGCACCCCCAACAGTCTGTCTTTGCCGTAATGTAGCAGCTAACCGAGCCAGCATACTCCTCTGAGAATTACGGGGTCAGATTATGAAGGAAGGATAAAACCCCAAGAACGAAGGAGCACATGACTTACCGTGATGTACGCCTCGCTCATGCCTCCTTGACGATCGACATCGTTCTGGCTCATGATCCGGTAGCTATCATGGATGCGTTTGCAACTTTTGAGGCCGCCAATACCGGCAACATTTGCACCAAGCGTGTTAGCTGGGTTATCGGGGTCTAGGATGTTGATACCACGGCGTGCATTTTCCTGTGCATGGCGATCGGGTGAGAAGATCTTGATAGTGTTGTCGATCCCAGAAGCGGCGATGGTCGGTTCGTACGGGTGTCCTTATAGACAAGCGTGAGTTAATGCCGTATATGTGGTCAGAATGGACATACCTTGCACAACGTTGACCACTTCGCTATCTGCCTCGAGTATGTTGACCAGGTTCGCTGTTTTCCGATCCCAGATGAATATATGGCCCGAGTCACTGCCGCTCACGACGTACTCATCATTCAGCCCAAAGTAATTGACGTCTTTGACTGTTTTGATATTGCAATGCCCCCGATAGACTTTAGTATGGGAGGAACAAGGCACGTCCAGTTCGACATCCTCTCTTCGCGTTCGTCGGAAACCATATCTGTTGATGAGATGCTCCTCGGCTTCGTCCTCATCCTCCTCCTCGTCAGAAGAATCGCCGAGTTCCATGTCGAAGTCTCCTCCATCCTCGTCCTCTTCTTCATCTTCGCTTTCGTCTTCTGTTGACACATCGGAGCCATCCTCACTCACAACCGCCGCATCGCCGTGCTCAATGGAGTCCCCATCTCTAACGCCCGACCTGCCGTTAGTGGACCTCGTCCGCCGTCCACTCGGATTGGAGGTTCGTGAGTCTCCGTTCATAGAGGCACCCGAAGTCACAAGGTGCACGTCTTGGATTGGCTCCTCCTCGACGCTGCCGTCAATATCCTCTTGTAATCTCTCTTGCGGAAGCTCACTGTCCGAGTTATCTTCGATTTCTGTGCGTAGCCCACCAAAGGCCTGGTTCACAAAGGCGTAGTTGACTCCCGTACCCGTCTCCATCAAGATGCCTCGACCTACCCTGAGAACCCAGAACCTGGTTGCCGAAGCCCGGTCAAGAGACCGAACTTGATGTGCTGTCCCACCATCACCATTAACCCTGGCCGCAACGTGTCCCAAATCCTCCAGTGGCAATTGCAAGGCATTTGCAAAGGCGGCAACTGCAGCATGCTGTGTCGGGAACAGTGTGCGAGTGCTGTCATGTTCAAATCTCGAGGCATCGACATTCACCACCGGATAGTCCCCTGCCAAGCTTTGAAGGTAAGGTACCAGGACCGATTCAATATCACTGTCGTCAGCTGTTTCAGGAATCGGATACCGCGCCAGATTACGCCTGTGAAAAGGATTGCTCTTGAACCCAGCCAATACAGCGGCCCTTCCTCCTTCAAAGAACAGCAAGATGGTTTTGATGAAGTCATAGCCGAATTGCTCTTTCGTGTCAATCACGTTGTTTTCACCAGGTGCAGGTACTATCTGCTGGAATAGGTTCATCGCCGAATCTTCATTTTCGGAAAAACTTTGGATCTCACCTCCCAGAAACCGTGCAAGTGTTCCCGCAGCTTGGACGAATCTCCAGGAAGATTCCCGATTACGACGAAGAGATTGCTGAAAGCTCACAACCTCTGGACTCGGATCGAGAGGATATCTCCATGTCCGCATGACTTCTCCCATTCGGGGCAGATGCTCCGCCGCATGTGTCAACACAGTAGAAAATGAGGCAGTGTACGGCGTCAGGTCGGATGGGCTTGAGGCCTCGGTGGCTTCGCGCACAGATGCTTCCAAGGAGAAGAGGGCCTTGCGGAGCTTGACAAGTCCTTTGGCGATACGCATGCTCAGCCGCTGTGCCTCGTTCAGAACCGAATACTGCGCCTGCTCCAACACATTTGGCGGAGCGCTCGACACCGTTTCGGAAAGCGAAGGGAACGGGATATCCTCCATCTCTCCATTGCCATAGCGGACTCTGAAGGCTAGCTCACCGCTGTCATCGTGTTCCGCCGATCGCCGACGCGATTGATGGCGGTTGCCGCTAGACTGTGACGACAGCGAAGCTCCCTTTTGCCGTTTACGCTTTCTGTTCTTTGAGCTTCGACGCCTACGTGAACTAGGGCTGTCATGCACGGACTTCTGAGCCGCTGACGCCGGGTCGTTCGCATCCGGACTCCGAACTAGATCAAAACTGTATATATGGTCTCCGGACCAGCTGACAACCATCTCATTCGGATTGGCGTCGCTGATCTTACAGGCGGTGATATGGCCATTATCCCGTGGGCTCATTCGTCTCTTACCGCCGGGGGCAAACCTCCGAACACATCTCGTCGCTTGTCCCATGAGTTCATCATCGTGCTGGCTACCGCTGTCGGAAAGACCCCCGGGATGGCCCTTTTCCGCAAGAAGATCCCGTCCGAGCATTCGCCGGTCGTGCAAGAAGCAATGCAAATGGGCGCCGCCCAGCGCGATGTAATGCGGTTGACTCGACGAGCACGAGATGGTGTTGAGGTCCAGATGGTAACGTTTATACGAAATCAGCGGAGGAGGCACATTCGAATCGTCATGCTCCAGACCCGGCCGATACGCCATGAAGCCCTGTCCCCCGCGCGGCTGTGGATAGGCCGAAGAGGGCTGGCGCAAATCCCACTGACGCACCTCGCCATCCTCCGAACACGTGAGAAAGAGGTACGGAGACGACTCGGTGACAATCCTCTTGACCCGATCTGCGTGGCTCCGATAGACTCTGCAATTGGTGTTTCTTTCATTCAAATAGCGCGCATTGCCAAAGAAATTGTTGAAGCGACGGCTTCGGGCCGACGCAGAAAAGGCAGACGTGGCGGCGACATTACTGTTACCTGCGGAATACTCGATGTCGAAGACGCGCACTTGGGAATCACCGGCGCAAGTCACCAGCGTGCGATCATTCGAATGGGGCATGAACTTGGTGGAGAAAATGTTCGCCTTGTGGCCGGTGTAAACGGTGGTGTTGAGCGTAAAGGGTGCGGACGAGGATTCCGGCTGGTACGAATAAATGTTGAGGTGCAGATCATCAGAACCCGAAGCCAACAGCTGACCAGACCGCGACCAACTATCGCCGGACACAAGAAACCTCGTCAGAGAAAGTCCATGGTTAGGTTAGTGGTCTCGCAGCTAGCACATACCATAACGCATTGACGCAACCCGTGTGGCCCCCCAGTTCATTTACAATATCCAAATCGTCAATCCATTCCTTGGAGCCATATATGCCACGAATACTCGTCGAGGGTGAAGTGTACCCCGACTCCCGGCGCCAGATGCGATAATACAGTGAGTCCTTCATGGTTGGCGTCGATGCAGAAGCTAGGGCCAGATACTCGATCTAAACGGGGGGGCGGTATTCTAGTCTCCTGGCGTGTGGACCATCTCGACCCGGCGATCAGAGCTTCTGTTTCTTCTGTTCTCTGCCGTCGGATTCTTTTGGGGGAAAGTGACGTCAGTCCCGGCGATAGAAAGTTGGACAGGAAGGAATGTGGTCGATAAAGAGATGAAGGAGGTAATAAAACAAGGGGGAAGAAGATCCGGGGAAGAGAAAAATGCAGAAGTAAGATCCGATGAAGCTAATCTCGGTAGATCGAGTCGATAAGAGTGGGTTGGGGAATGAGAGCGAAGGGAGGGAAAGTAGAGGTGAGTGAAAGAGGTAGGTGGAATAGGTAGAAACCGAGAGAAGAACAAACGAAAAGAACCGAAAGAGGGGGCTTAAGGCTTGATCAACTATTAAGCCAGATAGATCCATCCATTCGGTCCAGGTCCAGACTCAAAACCCCGCCGAACTACTATTCTCCATGTATTGGTTGTGTCGAAGCATCTCTGCTAGGTACTCTCGGTTGTACTGTCGCTGGACCCATTCTTCTTCTGGGGACCACCTCTACGGTACTTACATCTGACAAGTAATAAATATAGCCTTTTGCTTGCCAATCACTGCTTAACACTGTCTCGGCAAGAATTAGTCCCTCCTTTTGCTGTTGCTTTTCTCTCTTTCACCATCTGCAATAGGATCCCGTCTTCTTACTTTAGTCTAACTCTTCAGCACGAGTTTCTTTGAAATGTGACGCCGGAGTCGGACCCGACGATGATGATCATGC